TCAGCCATTTTTGTGCATAGCGAGCTAAAATTTGATGTGGTAGGATCTGAGAGTGATTCCCATCACCAGGTGTGACATGTCATGTGATATTCTGCTTGTTATTTTCAAGGTTTGACCAAAACTTTTACAATTCTCTCATTTTACACACAATGATTTTAATTTGAAACTAATGTCAAAGTAATGAAGAAATGCTAAGCCTTTATTTCCTAGACCCTGTGTGAAAAACGTTACTTTGAATATTAATATTGTTGTAGTAATTATTATTTCACACAGCTCCATGGTACTTTGTGTACAGCTGGACTAACAAAAGAAGGAGACACTGTGAAAAAACTCAAATTAGAATTTTATTAGTAATTTTCTCCTCATTTATTTTCCTACTGAGCTGTCCATCGTACGGATAAGACCTCCCCCACCCCCACCTCAAAATAAAACATTTGTTACAATATTCTCACTAAAAACTGTTTAAATACTATAAAAATAAATCAATTGCACAAAACAATATGCCATTCTGCTCGTGATTAACTTTGTGCAACACGTGCACACACGTATAAGATCGAGAACGCAGACGGAAAAAACAAAAACACGAGAAGACAAAGCAACAACAGAACTGGTAGAGCTTTGTGACTGGAGCACGTGTTAACTAATCCATTTTACTAATCCATTTTACCCATTTACAGAAACAGAAAACACATTCTGGTGTTCCAGTTGAGATTGATTAAACTTTTGATCCATGTTTTAATTCAGTGAAACTTTAGTGTTTTCTAAAAAGCATTGCAAGGAGTCACTGAAGAAAACTGTGACTAAAAAAAAAAAAAAAAGACATTCTGGGGATGAGACTGACCAGATTATGGGTTTCACCTGTAAACTGGGAGCGTCCAAACACGATATGCAACTTCAGAGAACGATCAAACTCGTGGTCGGTCAAAAAAAAAAATGGAACAGTTCAAACATCCCTTAAGTTCTGATCCCGCTCGGATCAGATCTGAGGGAAAAAATAGAGATTTTAGCTACAAACGTAGAAAAGCATAAATCAAAAACCTCAAACTTTATAAATAATAGTACTTTAAAAAAGAAAATAATTTACAAATCCAGGCACAAAGTGTTTGTTTTAACACAGGAATGAAAAATGTATCTATGAGATGAGCCGAGAGGTTCAATGTGCTGCAGGTTTTTATCCCTTTGTCTCCATTTACTGAAATATATTTAAATGAGATAAATGAGAAAGTCAACATTTGGAAATAATTGTGAATATTTATATGTTAATGTCATGGTGAAGGGGATGGGTACAGTAGTGGATCAGACATTGTTTGTATGGCTGTGCAAACACCGCATAAAGTCTACAACGCAATGAAAGAAATAACATATAGGAAGCAAAAAATAAATCAGGGCGTCTCTGTTAATTGGTTGGACTTCAAATTATCTGAACCTTTTTTTTTAATCATTCAAAGGCTTTTCATATTAACACAAATTTGCTGCCAAAATATGACACTTACCAACCAGGGTTGTGTGAAGACTAGTCGATAGTTGTGGCCTACTTATGACTCCTGCCATGGAAGGCATTAAAATGCTTTTATTTAGGTTTAAATCCACATTTAGTGTAACCTATAGATCATCTTCAATGAACCCACATCCCAAATCAACATCAAGAAGCTGTGAACCTAAAACGTAAGAGCAGCTCCCCCCACCGTCCCTTCCTGTGGATCGTTTCTGCTACACATCCACAAGTCAGGTCAGGGTTTAGGTCTTCGTTTGTAAAACTGAACAAAAAATTGTTTTTGCTCAGCTGGAATAAAAAGTAAATGTTGGTTTGGGAATTTTTTTGTAACTCACTTTCTATCAACCTCAGTGCAAATCCAAATCTGAGCAGAGACGAAGGCTCTCAGAATTAAACCGAACTTTAAGTTCACCCAAGTGTTTGCCATGTGTTGTCATCATTGTATGGGAACATACAATGATGACAATGGTTCTCTGCATTTAATCCATCACAGCCGAGATATACTCAGGTGGAGCAGTGGGCAGCTATGTAAGCACCTGGGGAAATATTAGGGATTGGGTGTCTTGCTCAGAGACACCACCACATGTGGGAATGAATGGGAGTCGAGCCGCGGCTTTCTGGTCCCAGGTCAGCTGCCCCACCTCTACCCCATCGCCCCGAGATGAGGTATATAAAATATCAGCTGGTGAGCTTTCAACCATCTGTGTTTTCATTCATTGGGTAAGTGACCCAACTGACCTAAAGACAGTCATAATGTGTACACAGAAGCTGGATACAAACAGAAATACAAAAAAAGACTACAATCATTGTTTTTACATCTCATGTATTGTCTATTTTTAATATTTAGTGTGTGATCATGTTGTGGTCCTGTTACGTTCTTGCAGTTGAAGCCCAGACACCAGCCAGTGGACCTGATCTTGGTGACCAAGTTCACTGAATTCATCCCATGAGCAGCACCCAGCTGCACGTTTGATGTCTAGATATTACCTGAAGACTGAATTGTTTTTTTTAATCAGTGCATTGTTTTATGGTACTTTCCCTTCTATGCCATGACAAACCAACACTCTCCTGTGATTATGACTTTTAAGTATCTGTGTGCAACATGTATGCGTGACTAACGTGCATTCATTTTTAACCTGTTCTTGGTCGGCTGAACGCACACGGAGTTTGTTTCAATTTCAAAATATCTACTTAAAATGTTAAACTGTAGAAATGCAAAACCCAAGAGGAAATTCTGACTTCATGGACCAGATCTGCGTGGACAGGAAGAGGCCTAAAAACAGACTTTAGACCATTTTTGATATTAGGACTCACCTGCATGTGGTAAAACTGACATTTTGTTTGGAAACTTTTTAACAAGTCTGGCAACAACCAAATATACTCCGCTCATAAAAAATAAGGGATGTTTGGCTTTCGGGTGAAATTTCATAAAGAATATAAAATGCCATACAACCTTTAGAGGTGAACTTAATGTGACCTTCTCTAAACTTTTGAATGCACATGTCCAACTGTTCAGTGTTTCAGTACTTTCTGAACAACTTGCAGTTCTAACATGGAGCTTAACAGCAAAATTCACAACAGGTGTTTGATCCAGGAATCAACCAATAATTTCCCGGTTCAATTACAATTGGTATTTAAACAGTCCTCCTTTCATGCTGTTCATATTTTGACATCCAATAAGATACTTTATTAATGTCAGGGGGAAATTTGATCATGAGACCAAAATAACACCTAGCAATTGATCAACAGTATCTCGCCATTGAGAGGCTTCTAACAGGATGTTCTCAGATGGAGTCACAGTGTCATCGACAGGTTGCAATAGTTATGGAAAGGCGTAGAAGTGGACATCTTTTGGCCACATGCCACACAGATGACTGCTTCATTGTGAACAGTTCCCCGCAGAACCAAATGATAACTGCCACTCAACTCCACAGGCATTTCAGGGAGGAGAGAGGCACCAAAGTGTTACGTCAGACCATTTGAAATTGTTTACCTCAACGTTGTTTGCATGCTAGATGACCTGCAAGGGTACCTAACCATACCACCAGGCACAGGCGTCGTCATCTTGCATGGTCTAGGGAGCATTTACTGTACACTAGATGAGGGACCAGTGGGCCTCAGTACTGTTCTGTGAAGAAAGTCGATTCACACTGAATAGAAATGATGGCCGCCATCAATACTGGCAACGTCAAGGACAGCGCTATGCATCAGCCACTGCTGTCACCAGACAAGCCTTTGGTGGTGGTGGTGGTGTTACAATGTAGGCAGGTGTCCATATTCGATATAGAACTGTGCTACCCTTTGACAATAGTATGACAAGCCCATACTACTGTACCTGAATAACATTATTAATCCAGTAACTGCCTCTGCATGAACAGCAGATTTCATCTTCATGGACAACAATACTCCAGCGCATCAGATCATATCATTAGGGAACAGCTGCTGGAGACTGGGGCACCTCAAATGGAGTGGCCTGCCCTTTCTCCAGACATGAATCCCATAGAAAACCTATGAGATCAGCTGAGTCCCGATACAGAGGCTTGTAACCCTGTAGTCCAGATCCTCAAAGACCTGAGGGTCACCCTTCATGCAGAGCGGGATGCCATGCCTCAGCAGACAATAAGTCGACATGTGAACAGTATGAGACGTCGTCAACCTGTAGTTGATGCTCAAGGGCACAAGTTATTGACATGTTTGTTGGAGTATACCCACCCGTTGTTTGCTTTTCTTTCGATAAATTGTTTGATGAGGAAATCACCACCGCATGCTTCCATTTAAATGTCCTACATTCATGATATACTGTACTGTAGTATGAACTTTTTACATAAATTTCACCCATAAGCCAAATATTCCTTACTTTTTGTGAGTACTGTATTTACCTCCAAGTGATCTAAGGAGAAGCAAGTCTAAATATATTTAAAAAAATGCTGTGATGTCTTCTTTTAATTTTATTTAACCTTTATTTATACAGGCAGTCTCATCGAGTCACAAGGACTCATTTTCAAGAGATCTGTTTTGAAATCAGAAGTTCACCGTCTGCAAACTGAGTCAGAACCAACGGTTTAGTTATAAACCTGCAGAAAAGTCATATTAGAAGCATGTTGTTAATAAGCCATCATACGTTAGTAAAATGAATGGGTTTTTTTTGTCTTACTGACAGAGCTTCAGAGTAAACATTTAAATGCGTTACATTCTGCTCTACTGCTAAGACAAACTCCTTGTTGATTTGTTTTCTATGTGACTCGAGTGTTTTTTGGTTATGAAATGCTGACATATTTAAGCCAATTCGATTTGTCCTAACATAAACATAAAGCAAACATGTTTGTCCCTTATAAGCTAAGATGTTGCCTATGTTTGTATGAAGTGTTTGAGTAAAAAAAAGCTTACTCAAGATCCATCTTCAGCCACAGGAAAATTCACATCCCTGATTTCCTTGTTGACCGTTTCCATTCAAATCCAAAAATCCATTGTGTGGTGCATTATGCTTTAGTTAAGGTTTTCATGTACTTTTATTCATTAATGAGTCATAAGTAACAGTCCAAAGGTACGCTAGTTGAGTGCAAAGATGTTAATCATTGTCTGTTGAACATTAGGAGTTTTCAGCTCTGCTGCTGGGATTGCTCAGGATTCATATTCTACTTGTGCCCTGTACAGCGTTAGGGCAGCGAGGAGAGAGACATTTGTTGGCTGTTAGGAGACAAATATCACAAAGGATGTCAAAAGTAAGACAAACGTGATGATGGTACGTCTGTGCCGAGCATTTGGCTTCTTTTAAAATAGTTCAGATCTGCAGCAGTTGTTTCAGACGATCGTGAAGGCAGTGAGATGAAGACGGGAGCAAAGGTGGGTATATGGATCTTTTTCTATAAATTCTCTGCATCCTGACGGGTACATCACCGCAGGATAAAAAAAGAGGCAGAGGATGAGGGTTTTCAGTAAATATCTGGCAGGTTCTGGTAGTTCCTGGTGAAGTAGCCGCCTGTGTAGAGCCAATCCTGGGAGCCGGTGTAACAGTTCGAGCCCATCTGGAACCACCTAACATACAAACATAGATTAAGAAACTTATGTTTTCACATTTATTAAGATGTCCCATTAGCTTTATCCATTTATTCTCACTACTTTACCATTTAGTTTACTTTTATTTCTAATTCCAATAATGTATACATTCAGGCATTCTATTTGTTATTAGGCCTGTCACGATAACAAATTTTGCAGGGCGATTAACTGTCTCAGAAATTATTGCGATAAACGATAATATTGTTTGAAATTTGCCAATAATTAGCAATTGTCAAATTTAAGAAGACATGTTGGTTAATTTATTTTGGGTGTAGTACCTTTGTACAACCACCAGATGGCAGTATAAGACTGTTTGAACTGAAGGATGGATAGTGAGGGAGAGAGCAGCGTGTCTCTTAAGAAAAATGGGAGGGAGGCCCCTTGCTGTGACATGGACTGTCTCTCATAACTTTTTCGGTTTTCAAAATGGCAAACGCTCGGTGTGATTTGTGCTTTTTAGCAAAGCGTTTTTCACACAAAACTTTAAAAAAAATAAAAATCAGTAAAGTTTCCAGTTTCTTTTTGCAGGGAAAAACAACTGTTAACATGAAGGCACAGGGTTCAACCGTGAATTTTACAGCTTCGACAAGATGGAGGTTTTTTTCCCCAAGCTCGGCCTGTTAGCTTAGCTTGTAGCTTAGCTGCTTTTAACAATACAAAAATACTATGTTCGATTGTTTAAATGGATTTTAAAAAGAGAAAAGAGAAAGGGAGGGATCAGTGAAGAACACCGGAGTTGAGCCTTTTGTCATCCAGTGTCTTCAGTAGAAAGAGAGAGACATGAAGAAACAATAAGTCGATTAATGAAAATGAGGTCGATAATTTCCATTCATCGTGCGATTAATTGATTTATTGTTTATCGCGACAGGCCCATTTGTTATTCATACACTCATTTTTATACTGTTTTCTTATTTTGCATATACAGTCAAAATAAATAACAAGTTCTGATTATAGAACATATTCTAGTTATGGTAAAAGGAAAGTGAGTTTCTGGTAACAGGAAATGTGACCTGAACTAGATCACCATGGTAACAAACATTAAACTTGAAAACTGCTCCAGAGTTGTTTACGTTCAAAGATTTTCTTTACATTATCTGTAAATTATATTTCTGATGGTATTCAAGATAAAACTAAATTCTGACAAAAGCATTTATTCCATCAAACAGACACACTGAATGATGATGTTTGATGTAACAAATTTAAAAGCAAAACGTTTGGTCGAATACACCGAGTTGGCCTGGAGGGCTAAACTTTTTCTCAGGTATAAAAAGTTTGAGGATCATTGGTATTAGATGTATGACAAAAGGCAGAAAGTTTGTGTTCATGTTTGCAACCTGGTTTTCCACTCCTCGTTACGCTTGGCTCGCTCCTTTCTGGCAGCTCTCTGCTTCTCTTCCAGTCTCTCCTTCTCCCTACTCGCTTGATCTGTAAAAGAAACAAAAGAAGACGCACGTTTTCCACATTTTACAATTTCTAGAACAAATGAACAACATTTGCTTCAATTTAAAGGTTTCATTTTGAGTTTTCTTTTTATTAATCTTTGATAACTGACTACACTGAGAACAACAGACATCCAGCAGCAAGTAACCATTGCTTGATTATTTCCTTTTTTTATTCCATAAAAAAAGTCTGACATAAAGCTCTGCCATGTTTTGTTTGTCTTGTATCAGAGCATATTCCAGACAGCAGGATAAACTTTACAGTACAGAAATCTATATCTTTTTTTTTTTTTGGAAGGCAGTTTTGGTATGCAAATTTCAAAGAAGCATTAAATGCTGATAAGACGTTAAAATCAAATTACCCATGTTTCCAATCTCCATGGCTCTGATGTCAGGCCTGAAGCGGCAGTCAGTGGGGGCTAAGACTGCCTCCATGCCTGGCTCCAGTTCATTGAGAGCCATCGCAAAATTTGTAAAGTGGTACATCTGAGGAGAAATGAGAAGCACTGGTGAGTGTTTGTACCGATAAATACAGAGCTGATGGTGGAAAAAAAAAAATCTGAGCCCAAACTTTTTTCCATGGCCGGGAGGTAGACATGAGGTGAGGGGTGCCATATACTGTAACGCACTTTGAACACATAATATTACACAAAAATAACCATTTAAAGCCATGGGCAGTTTATGGTCTTGTGGTTTCCTGGGCCAAGTGTATAAATCTGATCATCTATACATTATGGGGGGGCATCAGAGAGTATGCTCCCCCAGGAGACATTTTTAAAAAATAGACCATTAAATGATAAATTCTGATGAATTTTGTGGATATAATTGGACAACTTTCAGACAGGAGATGAACAAACCCAAGGTGAGCCTATATTACAGTAGATTCTAAGGGCAGAGCCTTCACATTACATCCTTTACATTACAAAAAGCAACATAACTTTTTTCCACCAGTTCCATAAAGCAGCCTTCTTGTGAACAAAGTGCAAAAACATGCACCAGGTTGCCGGAGCTTTTGACACCAGCTCCCAAAGGGCTTTCCATCGCTACCCATCTCCTCTAGCCAAACCCAGCACCATTTATTCTTTATGTCTTTATCAATATCTTTAAGTCTTCCTCTGGCTTCACAAACATGCGGTCCATGCTCGGTGCATGGCCCCAGTATTCCATCCCAGGGAAACAGTGATATTCAATGGCACACAGAACGATTGCTGGATCTGAATCAAAGTTTTGCCAATACCGAAGGCCTGCTCCCATTAGCTAGTAGGCCTATTTAGTGTGGTTGGAAGGGAAAACTCTGTCAGATCCAATAAAATGTCTGTTAATCTCTGGGCAAACCATTTTTTTTTTTTGCAGGTACGCCAAAGATCCGGCACAGCGCCAGCGTGCTATTGCCCTGTAATATACATACTTTTAATCCCAGCACACTGATGTTAAATGTGTCAATTCTAGACGAATTATTAGCTTTTAGTTTTAAATACTTAATCAGACTTGATGCCAAGTGACGAAAGAATGTGATACAGAATATTATAAACATTGACTTTATGGTGATCACTGACAATTTACACCTGTGTGTGTTTGTGTTATTTTATATTATTACCGTCGCAGAATGTGCTGGTCTGGACTCTATCCTCCATAATAGAGTACTTCCTGGTACTACAGACACCGTCTCTAGGACCTCAGGCATATCGTCTGCTTCATCGTTCTCCGTTTTCTGGAGCTCCTCCTGGAAATGATGCAGTTCATTTTAACTAAGACAGAAAAGATGCAACCAAATGTTTAAGACCAAACTGAATCCTAAGAACTGGATCTATGAATAATTATTTACTGTACCATCAGACTGCATGATTTAATAAGATTATTGTTGATTTTTTGTTTTTCACACTGCATTACGAATACGTCAGCACACTACAGTAGAACACCAGTCTGTAGAAGCCTTTTGTTTCTACCCAAAAAAAAATGTACAAACTTGAGGACACAACCAAGAGAGAATGAAAATGTATTTAATATCAGACAGAAACTACAGACAAAAGAATTTTCTATGTTTAAAAGCAATAAAGTCTCAGTTCTTTATAGCTACTGCACATTTTTAATTTTTAGCTTACTTGGACAACAACAGACACGAGTTGAAGTATTCTCACTTGTTTTTTGGTCTTGTTGTCACCTTTCTTCTCCGACTTCTTGTGGGCCTCGTAAAGCTGGGGGTTGACACTCCACATACACTCAGTCCACTTCCCGTAGATTACACAGAGCTTCTTTTTACTAGAGAAAAAAGAACAGAAGAGGAAAGCGAGGGGAGAAAGTAAAAAAAAAATGGGAGTGATGAGTTGAAAGACAATGAGGAATGAAAGGCAGGACAACAATTAAATGAGAGTAAGAGAGATTTTATTTAAAATATTTGGAAGGAGAAAATAAAACAAAAAGATATTTAAAAGGAAAAATAAAGTAAACAACTTTTAAATGTATAAATGTTTGATTAAAATAGATTTCAGTCTAAAGGTGATGTTTAACCTCTTGTCTTGGATGTATCCTTCAACTTTGTGCAACTCTTTGCCGAACATCCCACATGGCTTGAAATTCAGCACACACTTCTCTCCAGTGCTGCAGGGCCAAAAAACGAGAGAACATCTTGATGAGTGTAAATGAACTACAGAGAAATAAAGTTCAAATATAAAGATTAATGTTCAAACCTCAGTGTTGTGTTTACTTAATTTTTAGGCTCTTAACCAATCAGTGCAACAGTAAACAGAATGGGACAACCACAGAGCAGGTCGTGTGTATCTGTACAACTGTGTGAGTACAGCACAGCGAGGTAAAAAACAGAATAATATGAGCTTTTCACAGCTTTCCTGGACAAACACAGCTTATAAAAGTTGTTTGCCAAAGAGCACAGAAAATAAACAAGCTTCGGTCTCGTATATCAGAGCAAACAAAAGCTGGGGTTCAGTTTCTTTCCTAAGATGGCAGCCAAACAGTGGATATTTATAGATTCAAATTAGAAAGTGGATATAAGACACTGTAGTTCTAAATATGGAGTAATTTTCAAGTGCATCACTCAGCCCTCTGTGAACAGCAAGTGGCCATCAGGGCTCTAACGATCCAACTAGACTGAGGGTCCTCCTTTAGCATGTGAACAACTAGTTTTGTCTGTCACCAGCAAACAAGTTGATCAACTGTGAGAAGGTGCTGCTTATAAGACTGAGTTTGTTGCAGCTCCTCAGACTGAAGAAGTCTTTTGGCTAAAAGAGCAAACGTTTCAACAAAGAAGAATCCGTCCAGAAGACCTGACTCTGTTATACTGTTCTAAATAGTTGTTTCAAAAGCTGCAGTGCACGTGTCATTTATATACCTGTGGTTGACTATCTCCACTGTGCCATACTGCTCTATCCATAGTTTGCCCAGGATGATGTTATGTACGCAGCAGTAAGGATTACTCCACGTGTAGACTTCATTGTGCCTGACGGAGAGCAAAGGAGGAAATTAAGGAAGGGATGTAATAAAAATGATGAGGGATTGAATGAAGTTGTACAAGGAATTAAAAAAAAGAAAATTTAACCGAACAAAGGCTTTAAAACAATCTACAGTTGTCCCTTGTTTATCGCGGGGGATCCGTACCCTGAAGCCCCGCGATAAGTGAAAAACCGCGAAGTAGGAATAGTAGTACAAGTAGTAAGTAGTAGTTTATTTTAGTATTTATATATTTTTTAAGGTGTTTTAAACCTTTCTCACACTCTTGTAATATTCTAAATAATGTTTCTAAACTCTAAACACTCTAAAAGACACAGAATGTCATGATTTCAGCTCCCTGCCTCATTTGCTCTTTGCCACCTGCAAGAACTCTTGGCCACGCCCACTTCTCTGCTCTGCATGGAGAACAGCTGATCAGCTGCAGGAAGAAGCTTACCCTGCAGTATGGGCTGCACAAAGGTGCAGCAGATGCTAAATAATTTAAAATAATTTATTTTAAATAAAAAAGTCCATGACGATCGTGTGGCTCGTCCATCAATCAGCCAATTGTGTGTCATATCCAGTCCTATTTTGAAAAACCGTGATGGATCGAGACCGCGATAAACGAACCACGAAGTAGCGAGGGACAAACTGTACTAGAAAACAAACATTTGGATGTCTCACTTGAGTAGTTCTAGTGTGATTGTTCCTCTTGGCTCTGCCTCAACACTCTTGCCCCAGAACTTGAGTTTTGGATAAATGGAGCCATGGAAGACAAAGTCCCCAGTGAGGCTCTCTGCGTGGAAGGCACTGACTGGAGGATGATGGGATACCTGCTCAGATATAAGCCGGAAACCCTGCTCTTCTCTGCAGAAATGAAAAATATGAAAGAAGATTAATTATCATAGGTGGAGAGGCCTTGATGAAAGATGTGGTGTGTGTGTGTGTGTGTGTGTGTGTGTGTGCACACCTGATGAGTTCATAGGTCTCTCCCAGCAGTGGGTTGAATGGTTTTCCAGTTCTGTCCCACTGAGATGCAACTGCCGACACGGCAAAAGCAGCAACTGCCTAAAAAATAAAGGATCACAAACCACATTAGCATTTATACATGTGTGAGTGTAGCTACAAGAAGTAAACTGGCATTTATTATACGTATAGCACAAGGGTACTTCAGTATTCAGTTTTTATCTTGATTTGTTAAACTGGTAAAACAAAGAAGTTCTGTGACGTAAAGCTCCATCAAAATAAAACACCTGGTCTTCTGATAAGTTTTGCTAAACAGGATAGTGTCATAAAAATGTTCAAAGGTCTACAGTATTGTTACAAATAATTATTTTACAGACATGTTTTAAAAAAAAGTATAAACTTTAAAGATTACTAAATTGAAAATAAAACATGCTTATTTAATCCATGGCCTGACAGCGATTTGACGAGTCGATGTGTGGGACTGTGAAGCAAAGATCATTTAGGTGATAAAGTGAGCGTGTGCGTTCAGGTGTGACTCGAACCTGCATGCGCTCTATGGAGTCAGATAGTGAGCAGGCTCTGTTGAGGAGGTAGGTGTGTTCCATGTATTCTGAGATTCTCTGCAGGAAGCTTAATGGTTCATTAAAGATGATAGGCATTGTGATTTTGGACAGTTCCTGTAAAAAAAAAAAAAAAAAAAAAAAAAAAAAAACATTTAAGACTGGCTAATATACTGTGAGATCATTTAAATTCTTGGAAGCTTCCAATTTCAATTCCACTGAAACACAAGCTATGTTTACATGTGCAAAATTCTTTGACCGAATTGAAATGTTTTCAGATTAAATAATCCAAATGTATCGTTTACATGGGCACAATCCGTTCACGACGAGCGTTTACATGCAGCAAGCTTTTATTCAGAATAGAAGTACTGATATGCGCAGAGTGGTAAACTCTCTTTAAAAACAAACATCAAAGAAGAAGTTCTACTTCCGGTTTAATTCCGGGATGAACGTAAACAAACCTGAGCGCCCAAAATGGACCCGCGACAGGTTTTAATCATGGTGGAGACGTTACTGCACTCCCTGACTGAGGTACAGGTAATACAGATCATTTTGAGCTCTTTCAAAGTTTCTAGCAGAAATGTTGTGTCGCTCATCGACCAGTGTTGCTTCCCCGACATGCTAATATTATTAGCATTAGTCAGGCAGAAATACATGAGGCAGACATAAGTCACACATGTGCAGTCAGGTCAGTTTTTCATGATCGAAAAAAAAAGGACAGATTATATGCATACCGTTCAGATTATGAATCGGCATTAAACACCTGTCTCATTCTGATTACAAATTCATTCGGATCGAGCTGAATCAAAGAATAATCCGAATGGGACTTTTACATTATGCATTTTTATTTCGAATGGCCGTTTAATTCATTACTTATGTCCATGTAAACATAGCTACTGGCTGAAAAACATCAAAGTTAATGCTCAATAAGGTTCAGTCAGGTCATCTGCATGGTTTCTTTTTTCTTTTTTTTTTGAGACATTTCATCCTTCATCCAAAGGACCTAATCAGTCCGAGGAGCCACAACAAACTTAGTCCCACAAGCAGCACAGTCACATAGCGGAACCACAAGTGAACCACTTTGGTTATGGCTGCCTCAGAGGAGTTGACGTGGGAGAGGGTGGGACCCAGAAACCATATTGTCACCAGCAAACTGGTTGGTCCACTGTGTGAGTGTGCTGCTTGTGGGACTGAGTTTGTTGTGGCTCCTCGGACTGATGAAGTCCTTTGGATGAAAGACGAAACGTATCAACAAAAAAGAAACCGCCCAGATGACCTGACTGAACCTTGCTGGCTTGGCTGAAAAACCTTTGGCCATTAGTAAATCTCTAAAAGCAATCTCTTGATATATATACTGTTGATATGTGCTGCTGACTATCCATGCTGCTGATCTCATGCTGCTGATTTATTTCATGCTGCTGTATTCATTCATACTCATCTGCTCATACAGACTCGTGTTCATGCTACTGTTGTTCGGCGTAGTTTTTGTACTACCAGTGCTTAGCATATTTTTAGTTTTGCGTATTTCTTAGTTCATATCTTAGATCTTGTTACTGTTTTTCTTTACAATTTATACTTTTGTTGGATGTAACTGGGACCCTGTGTACACAATTTTGTTCCACCACATGTACCACATGTGGTGCGTATGACAATAAAGAAACCTTGACCTTGATATATCATTCGGGGGGGGGGGGGGGGGGATTTCATAATGTGTGTTTCATTATTTTAGATAATGTCATTACCAACTCAAGCAAGCCACAACAACCCTAAAAACAGTTTTTAAAAAGTGGAGTTTTTATTTTTTATTCTTGAAATGTGAAAACTAACATTAAATGAAATTTCAAATTGTCAAAAAATTATTCATCCAATCATAGTGTACGAGTATATGTTAGCAACAAAACCTGTCACGTGTGGAAAAAGCCAAAATCACCAGCTCAAAACTGACGCTTCTATTTGTACCCGAGACTGAAGCTGTTTTCACAAAACAATTATGTAACATGGCAGAAAAGACGAGCCACTCCTTCAGCTGCTTCTGGTCGTTTACAAGTGCACCAATCCAGCCGAGCACGCGCCGCAAAGATGGCGCTTTAATAAAACAATGAATTTAAAAAAAACGAAGTTGGCTTTGCAGAATTACAGAGCACCCTTTAAAAAAGCAGACCTCTGCTTGTGCTGAACCGCATTTGACGCCAACATGCCAACTCTGCTCTGTGACTACCTCTTGCTAGCTCAGAAGTGTAACAGCAGTGGTTTGACTTCAAGTCCCTGATGCCACCTCTTCAGTCACACAAACGACACAAAGGCAAGAAAAAGCATTTTAGTCTCAGCTGAAGTGTTTTGTGAAGAGGGCTTTTGACTGGGTTATCCCATTTAAAGCTGCGTTTGAAAACCAACATGCTCTTACCAGTCCAATACATTTCTTTAGGATACTCCAGATACTCATTGAGCTTCTGGAAAACATGGGTGCTGGTAAAGACGTCCTGAAAACAAAGAGAGGGGGAAACATCTGTAGATAATACAACAGTCCTTTTAGTTTAATAGTAGAACAGAATATGCTTCATGTAAATGTGACGTGAAAAATGTTACATAAATACACAAAAGAGAATTTTTCCATATTCTGATCATTGTAAACAAGGTTAACATAAACAAGAACTGTGTATTTCTTTTCTAAACTGGTAATTTCCCCAACCACTATGATGTCACTGAAAAAAGTCAAACCAACAGCATTAGCCAAATATTTTTATGTATGAGTCAACCATGCCAGGCCCTGATCACAGCAATAAAACTGTTCCACTTATTTCTTCTAGTTTCTTTCAGACAAAACTTTGAACATAACTATCACATCTTCAATGACTAAATTGATCTGAATTTGCCATACACAGAAAAAAAAAGACTAATAAATGAATAAATGCCATTTTATAGACATAAACATCAATTATCTTAAAAATATATATATTTCTGATTTAAACTTTGGCCCAAAATACTGCCCCACCTTCAGAAAGAAACATGAATTAGTTTTTTGTTTAAACATAATCCAAACACACAGCGGATGGAATGCGGTGCAGGAATGCAGATGTACCTGTGTTTCTTGACGCCGTTCTCTTGTGGTACCGATCCATTGTTCTTTTGACTGCTGCAGTCAAACCCTTTTGCATCTTTGAAACTGGCCTCTGACATCCCTTCGTATGACTCATCTGAATCGAGGCCTGGGAAATATTAAAAAATTCCATTTATTAGCCAGCTACACCACGCACCCAACGCTCTGAGCAAATACAGTAACAAACACTAAAGTTAGATGTCTATAGTCCAAGAGATGAGGAAAAAAAGACTTTGCATGCAGTCAGTGTTGGATTAAATAAGTTTTTATCTGTAGCAATAGTCCCTTGCAGATCTACTTCAGCACACAAGCTGCTTTGCATTGATCAGGAACTTTTTGCTTTAATTTGAAAAACAAATTCTACTGTATGAAACCGTTTACACTGACTAAACCCTCGACTTAAACAGAAGAAGGAATTTGGGAATAACCTCTCAATTTATATTCATGATTTTAAAGTCGACAATATAAAATATGCAAGAAAATTAACAAAGAAAATGCCAATAAGTTGTTATAATGCAGTCATGTAAAACAACAGCAGATTTCCTTACAGACCAAATGTATTCTAAATTTTTATGCGACACGTACCCATGTTTATTTTTAGGTCAGGCTTTTTAGTATTTCTTGCTTTCATCTTGTCAAGACTGGACTGCACACTGCAACGCACGTTTTTATGGAATTCCATCCAAGCACATTCAAAAACTTCAATATGAACAGAACAGTGCAGCCAGGATTCTGAGGAAGCAAAGGAAACATGACCACATCACCCCAATCCTTAAATACCTCAACTGGCTTCCCATTTCACTCCGCAATACAAGGTTTCCTTACTCACCCACCCATCCATTCACGGCAATGCTCCATACTAACTTAAAGAACTGCTGACTGCTCAGACAACAACACGAACCCTCCGCTCCACAAATTCCTACCAGCTCCGCCCTGCTCGGACAAAACTGTGCACCATGGGTGACAGGGTCATTTGCTCTGCTGATCCTTTGTGGAACAACATCCCCAACAATTTAAAGATACCCCAGACTACAGAAAGTGTTACGAAAGGACTGAAGACCTTCTTACTTAAAAGATTTTATAGTGTTTAAATGTACTTCTAATCCTGCTGCTTTTAGTTTTTCAGTATTTTAGTGCATGCTTTATTCTCTCTGGCTGTTTTATATTGTAGCACTATGAGATTGTAAAATGTAAAGTGCAGCACAAATTCAATAAATTATTATTATTATTATTATTAAATAAATATTTACTGGACTTATTGAAGGTAGCTGTAACTGCTGATAGCCCGTGTACACTCACTGAACTACGTCATAGGGTGGAGTAAGAAGAACAAGGTAGGACCTCAACATTAGCTTAAAATAGACAAAAGAAAAATATCCGTGGTCATTTTTCAGCAGGTTTAAGGCGTGTTTTCTTTAAATGGCATCAAGGTTTGAGCCACTTGTTTCCCGTCAACGTGTTCTCCGCATTTCAGAACAGATTTGACACAACTGAGGAAGAGCAAATACGATATACGTAAATATAATGAACGCATTTTATAAATAAAAAAAAAGTCAATGAATTAAATGTAGAAAATAGAATAAAAGTAACAAGGACATTAAAATGGTTTTACAAGCATAAGTAGCATGCATCATCTGAAAGTGGAGATCTAGTATAGACGTTTGACTTTCTTGGACGCCATTGACCTTTTGTATAAATACTGATACTTGATGCATCAAAAATTAACAAATTGGTGGAGAGACGTGAAAAACAGCATCTGTTTTGACACCAAGTGTTTAGCTAAAGTTTTTTTTTCTTCTTTCAGCTGCTCCCATCTTCAGGGGTCGCCACAACAAACTAATTTGCACAAAGAATCACCAATCATAGGCTCGCCTTCTCTAACCTCTGCGCCACCAAGTATTTAGCTAAAATATCGTTTTGAATTGTTGTTTTGAAAAACTCCCTGTCAAATTCAGAATAGAATTCAAAATCTTACTTCTACCATACAAAGTGCTCAACAACCTAGCTCCATCTTATATTACAGATCTTGTTGTTTAATATACCCGTATTCCTAACAGAGAACTTCGCTCTCAAACTGCAGGTTTACTTGTGGTTCCTAGAGTTTCTAAAATCAGAAAGGTAGGAAGATCTTTCAGTTATCAGGCTCCTCTCTTGTCCATGAGGCTGACACATTGTCCACTTTTAAGATTAGACTTAAGTCTTTCCATTTTGATAAATCCTATAGCTACGGTTGGCTTGGGTTTCCTGAGCTATCCCTTAGTTATGCTGCTATAGACTGCTGGAGGACAAGCTGACCACATTTCTTCACTCTGCTGCCGACTTTACTTGCTCTACCTGTTTTGTATTTGTAATTATTTATATCCTTGACATGTCTATTTTTGTTTTTCATCCAATAGGAGGTACACCTGCACCTACATCTGGATCTGCCATTCTATGTTCATTTCTTTCTTCTTCCTGTCCTCTCGAGCCCAGCCAGTCAAAGCAGATGGACGCTTGTCCTGAGTCTGCTTCTGCTGGAGGTTTCTTCCTGTTAAAAGGAAGTTTTTACTTTCCATTGTTACCTTTGTGCTTGATCAGGACGGGAGACTGCGACGAAGTGAAGATTCATCGAATCTGCTGGCTTCATCCTTGGATAGATTACTTTTGCTAAGTGGCTTTTGTATGTATGTGAATGTTTTTTGTTCAGTGCTCTGAGACAACTTCTGTTGAGACTCCGCAGTATATAAATAAACTGAACTGAATTCCAGCCCTCCCAGAGCATCCCAGGAGTTTAATTGGTGCAATCTTGACAGGAACAACAGACCATTTTTACAAAGTCTCTTTCAAACATCGCACGTTCTTTGTTTTATATATTTGAATTAAATAAAGAAATAAAAACCATTAAACACAAGTTTTATATTGTAAATGAGCCTAATCTAAAAAAAAAATTAAAAAAATTCTGAAACCAGTGAAATATAGTCACTTTTTCATTCAGTTGTATCTGTTAATTCTTTCAAAGAATAACACATTACAAAGGTATGACATACAAAATGTTCCAGGTGTTGATTTTACCAATCATGACCACCGCCAACCTCTGAATTATTGAAGTGATCATCCGACTGAGAGTAATTAGATTCCACTCGAGTGTATTGCACTTTCATAACGGAGCAACTAGAATTACTGGCTGGATGTTTATATGCCTTCAAAAACAAGCTGCAGTTTATACTAATCTATTTTTTCCTTCTAATTACAGTTAAATGCCTGCCAGAAATGTGTTGTGATAACATTTGGATGTCACATAGAAGCTGAAGTTTGAACTTGAAATGATTTAATGCATAACTATGTTCCATTAAATGTTTGTGTAAGAATTTAAATAAATTCTAAACATCTGTTCTAAAAAGTGCATTCTGAGATACATTTTGTCATTAGTCTTATTTTCCCTAATGAATCCACGTGAACTTACATTAAATGTGTGTGTGTGTATATATATATATATATATATACATACATACATACATACATACATACATATATACATATACATACACACACACACACATATGTCAATGTTTATCAGGTAGTGTGTTAACAAAACTGACAACCAGATAAACAGATATGTAGAAAAATTAATTCATCTAGCTCAGAAACTGTATTAAATAAACAAACAAACAATGAAATAAAAGCATTAAAAAAAATCATTTCCATCTATAGGAATATTGAAAAACAAGCACAAATACTCACCTGTTACGGCATCGTAAAACTCATCCTCGTGGTTCATTTTCTAGACTCAAAGCTGAGCAGATGTCAGAAGAAATTCAGCTTTTAGCACATGTTTCCTTTGGTGAAGCCCCAACAGAGTTCTTCTGAAGGGAGGGATGGCAATAATGGTCCCACAAAGAAGTCACCAGGAACAAAGTAAAATGTTCCTTAGAAGCAAGGATGGGTTCCCAACATCAGTTTGACACCAGTCCTTGGTTGATGACCAGAGACCGAACACACGGGTGGACGAGTCAGATTAAAATCAGCTCCAGTTGACAAAGAACGCACTGACGTCTGTAACCTGAGAGTTCAGTTTTGGGGGCTTTGCTGACCAAGGCAAATTAGTAACCTGTAAAAATAAGAGCAAAACAAACAAAATAACTATCATTACAATACACACAGATAATTTCATTTTTCTTAACCAAAACCAGCATGAAGAGAAGAATTTCCTACTGCTCTGCAGTGAAATGGGAGGATTTCAAATTAGGCACACTGCTGAAGGTCACACTCAACTATCTAGGTTTTGAATAAAAAAAAATCACTTTAGTCTGAGAAACAATCTTGGCCATCATAAGCCAAATAATAGAAAGAGTGAGTTTTCATGGTTAGCAGTTACATACAGTATTCAAGACATCATTGCAATCAGCAATTATCTGGTACATTATCTAGACGGAGTTTACATTTAAGACTGTCTCGAGCCAACTAGTTGCACAGACAACAGTAAAGATTCCTTTGTAAAATACCATAAGACATCCAGTTCTTCTCGTTTACCTTTATTTACAAGACGGCCCAAAGTATTAGGACTTTAGCTGGATTGTTTTTAAAGATGTGAAAGAGGAAAACTGACTGATTTTGACAAAGACACAATCGTTTTTGTGCAATGTCAACAAAGTATGATTAAAATACTGTAACCGAGTGACATCTTAAGAAAGCTTTTTGTTAAAGAAATCATTTAATCCAAATCGTATACTGGTATATGTTGTTTTTGTGACATATCTTTTGCCTCAGCAATAAGTGCACAGCTTTTCTAAAAATAGCAAATAAAAACACTTTTTTGATAAGCTATGGAAACCTGTAAATGACTTTGAAATACTTGGTTATGTCAGTTAAGAAAATGAAATGTTTATAAATCTAACATTATAAAGTATGGATAAAACATTAGATCTCTGACAAAAGTAAAATAAACCTTTATGAGTATTTAAATAAATTAAATCAAACAAAAAAAGACAACTGTAACAACAGCCCTGACTTTAATGGCTTGAAAGCATCAGAGCCGAGTGAAGGACACCCAGGGCAAAATAATCAAAAATGTGTCATAAGAAGTCAAGGATCTATTATTTCTAGTAACTGCATAAGTTAATGCATATCCCAGAAGCATGTCTGGTATCAATCAATCTGGTTATCAAGTTTCTGGCTTTGATTGAATCTAAGTATTTCTGAACCAAATTTAATTACCCAGTACGATTTACTCCTTTGGAAAGAACTGTTCTGTTTGGTCAAATGAACCACTGATGTCATGATGTTGTGGATAACTAGCTCAGTTTTAATACAAAGTACAGAAGATGGGCAGAGATGGGGTAGAAGTACGGCAGCCGACTTGGAATCCGAAATTACCAAGTTTGATCCCAAGCCATTCCCACCTCGTGGTGTCTCTGAGCAAGACACCTAATCCCTAACTGCTCCCCAGGTGCTTACAAAGCTGCCCACTGCTCCACCTGGGTGTATTCCAGGTGCAATGGGTTAAATGCAGAAAACTAATTTCGCCATTGTATGGGAACATACAATGATGACAACACATAGCACTTATTACTTATACAAGACCCCCCCACACCCAAACTATTCACTTTATTTTTTCCTTAGATCCATCTGTTCTATATGTCCTTCATTAATTTTGTCTTTGATTTAATAATTTCCAAGCATTTTCTTGGAATGAGTGACAATGTCCTTTAACAGTCATCTGGTCATGTAGAACATGAGACCACATGGATCATGATCTGCTATACCACTCAAAACTATCCTCAAGTTAAATATACAAAAGTAATAAATTATCTCTTTTGTCTGACGAAGTCAGTATTAGAAAATCTTACCATACCTTTGCAGCAATTAAATCCCAAGACGTTATTAAGTTGCTCAAATCTAATAGCAAAACTCTTCACCTGGGAACTAACAGTAATTGTTCCCTACTTCTTCTCTAACTGCTTTTGTTTCGCAAAATGCATTTTACCTTTAACAGATAAGTAACGCCTTCAGCACACAAATGAACTTTAGCCCTGGCTTCCACGATCGATAAGGTGAACAGAATGGATGACAAGCTACTCTTTTTAAATATTCTGAAAGCTAGTTTACTGCGGTTATTTATTGTCTTACTTAAGCTAGCAAACACCAGATTATAACTAAAGTTAAATGATAATAATTTTAACTACAACAACTAACTTGGGAAAAATTCCCTATTAACATTTGACATATATCAAACAAAACAAAACAAACACTGTGACAAAGCACAATTCTTGTAGCTTCACAATTAAATAAACTAGATGGTTGTTAAAAGTCTACTTTATTCAGCAGTATTTTTTAAATTCTGTTTGGAAGAGAATAAAGCGGAGTTTACTGGAATGAAAAATGACGGCCTTCTGTAAATGTCCTACATAGAAACCCAGTATAGGCAAAACAAGAGCAAATCATTAAGTTTTGATAACCTTAATCACATTTATTCATTTTTTATACATCATTGGCTGAGTACTATGTTCTAACAATATTCCATTAAATTATCAAATAAATGAGAACTGAAGCACACAATTAGTTTGTAAAACTTTTATAGTGCAAAAAATGTTTTCAAATTACTGTATCTTCAGGGTCAAGGAAGACCACTTATTTTTGAGGTTTGTCGATCTTCAGCTGAAGCAAGTGAAGGCAGGTACACTCCTTAGCTTTCTTATCCCTTTTTATATTTTTATGTCACTCTTGTAGTGACAAATAAAACCTCTTTTTTACTTTAAAAAATTGTCAAATTTAGAGCAAATAATTCATTTTATTTAATAGTTAACCCACTAAAAGTCCCTTTCAGTAATTTTCATAAGAGAATTATTTGTTTTTTGAGAGTTTTTGAAGATCCTGCTGGTTTTGAGAGATTGTTACTATAATTAAGGTTGTTGTATTTTTTTTATGTTTGCCAAATAACATTAACTTTGTTTAATTTAAAAATAAATAATGGGGTCCCTGATGCCTATACAGGTGGGGTACACCCTGGACAAGCCTTAGGTCCATTGCAGAACCAAAAACTATGATGATGTATAATATTATTAAATTATTATTTAACTAATTTCTATCAATAATAAATAAAGAATTCATAATTTGTTGTATTAACAATAGTAATAGGTAATATTGCAAAGTAAAAACATACAGTACCACCTTACACATACCAACTGACACCACACCAGAAAGAACAAGGTGTGGAAATTATCTGCAGGAGTGTTGGGAGTAAAAGGTGAGTAACAGAATTATTAGAGAAGCAGTTACAACAGAACGATGCAGGTTTTCACAGCCAACTATGACTCAGAGTTGAGCAAACAATACACTCCGCTTCTGAAATGCTCCTGAACCAAAATGAAGCCACATAAAGATGTACAAACTAGTCTGGTGGAAACACGTGGCATGTCTTTACTATGTGCTGCAGAACTGACATGTGGAGTACATGTCTAATCATGTTGTGGTGTCGGGTCAAAATGGTCTCCCCACTGATAAAGCGCTCCATCAGAGGTCAGCGCCTTGTGCAACAAGGGGTTCTGATAACGACTACAGTGCCTTGAAAACGTATTTACACTCCTTGAACTTTTCCACACTTTGTCACATTACAAGAACAAATCTCAGAGTATTTTACAGGGATTTTAAGAGACAACCCAACACAAACTGCAAAATGCTTTAAAAGTATTGTCTAAGTCCATGAGATTTTCTGCTTAACATTATTTAATTAAAATTATAATCAAGCTAGGTCTTCCTGCCTTGCTTATTATTCCTGACATGACAGAAGTTTAATGTATTTGTCAAAGTATCCATGTAATAACACAAAACAATTCAATTTTAACAAAGTGTTTTTGCTGTCAGTCTACAAGACCAGGGAGAAATTTGTTTCCAAGAACCTAACTGAAGAAGAAAACTTCATATGCCCGTTCTGTAAATGGAAAATACATGTCTGAAAATAAGATTTGCACCCATTATGGATACCTCAGCCTCTATTCATCAATTTTAATACAATGATGCACTCATACGGCAAATAGTCTAATTAAACTGAAACTTATTTTCAGATGTAACCATGTCAACCTCGAAAGTTAAAAGGGGAGGCTAACGTGCAAAGTTATTGTGAAAGAGACCACAATGGTTAAAATTCACAACATATGAACAAGAGCATTAATCCTGAAATAACTGATCCAGTATTTCCTGTGACACTGTCCTAACTTGATTAGAAATTACAATTCTAACAAAAATAAATGCAAGCCTCAGCAGTGTCCAGCCTGAAACTGTAATAATGTTAACCAAAAAATAATAATTAATGTTGGTTGTAATAATGTTGGTTTAAATCACATCTCAACATAATACTACCAGCTTCGAGCTAAACCCCAGGCCTCAGAACAGCTCAGTGATATTTTCTTTTGTATTTAGCAAGAGGAAATATCGTATTGCCAATAATTTACTTCAGGCTCATCATATCTTGTCACTCTGCTTTCTTTGGGCTGGAAACACATTTTTAAAGACCGGGTTACTCTGGAGTGCAATGAAACGTTATTGTGAGAAAATTATTTTGACTTATTAGTTGAGAAAAACAAGACCTCCCTGGTTTAACAACGATCCTCGGCATGTAGATGCCCACAAAAAAAAAAAAAAAAACATTGTTTTCCTCAAAGCTTTTGTGAAGAACAGCTGAGGACCCACACTCCATCCATCCATCCATTATCTTTACCCGCTTTTTCCCTTTTGGGTCACAGAGTCACTGGTACCCATGTCCAGCCATCACTGTGCAAGAGGCGGGGTACACCTGTACAGTGACACATAGAGACAAACGAGACAAACAAACATTCACTCTCTCACTCACACCTGGGGATAATTTAGAGTTACCAATCAGCCTAACATGCATGTTTTTGGTCTGTGGGAGGAAACTGGAGTACCTGGGGAAAACCCACGCATGCAAGAGAACATGCAAACTCCACCCTGAAAGGCCCCTGGCTGGGATTTGAACCGGGGCGACCTGCTCGCTGAGAGGCGGCAGCTCTACCAACTGCACCACCGTGTTGCGAAGCCACAATCGTAGCTGAAAAATCTGGAGATTAATCTTAAACTGTTAATCTTTGTAATTAC